ACACTTGTCAATTTCGGATTGGACCCGCCTAACCCGAACACGACACGAAACTCGTAAAAAACTAAAAAATACATATATTTTTCATTTCATATTTTAAATTTTATTATGAATTTGTGATATCATGATAGTTATACTCAAAATCTTATACTATTATTTGCTTAATTTCAATGGATGTTATTGTAATTTAGTGTGTTATGAATTTTAAGTTATTTCTAATATGTGAAAAACTAAATAAAAGTATATAATTTTCGTGTCAATTTCGGATTCACGGGTCAATTTCGTGTCCGGGTCATTTTCAGGTCGTGTCGTGTTCGTGTTGCGGTTTTTAAAAAATTTCGTGTCACGGGTAGTGTTCGGATTGACTGTAAATTTAAAAAAAAATGATCAAAACACGACACGAACACAATACGTGACACGAATTGACACTCCTATTTTGCAGAGTTCTCAACTTTGTCCCAATTGTCTAGATTTTCTCTGTCACCATATAATATAGCACTTGGTGTCCTAGTTTTCTCGCACAAGTTAACTGTTACACGAGAACTGCGACCCCTTTTAAGGAACCCACCTATTATCCAATTTGAAGATATTCCATTGGCTATGGGAGATGGAATAAATAAATGAGATAGAAAAGTAGGACTAATAGAGGGGAATGTCAACGAGGAAAGAGTTTTCTAATTGCTTTGACCTTGTGACGAGATGAGAGATAAGGTTGAGATCCCTTAGGCATTTGATTATAAGCTGCTTTATTCTCTGTTGAAAGAAAAGATTAATCGCCTCGTCGAGGTTCTTAAGGGCCAACCCTACTTTTCTTCCCTTTTTTTTCCCCCCCCCTTAATGGCTGTAGCCATCAAATGGTTCTAAGGCCGTACAAAATTCGCAAATCTCGAAACTGATTTTAATTTTTCACTTACCCATCAAGTCAACGATCACCAAAGATATTTGTGTTAAAAATGAAACTCTGGCATATTTCACTTACCCATACCATACTACATGTATTGATATATTAGAATTTTTTTTTTTTTTATAAAAAAAACACTATGATTTGATTAATTCATGTGTGGTAATTTGATAAGGATTTTTATCATAATTGCTCCCTCTAAACTTGTTATGATTTAGCAAATTGCCCCTTAAGCTATTAATTTTGGTAATGAACCCCTTGAACTTGTAAAACTATTGTAATATCCCCATTTTACTAAATTTGTTCAAATTTTTTGTGAGATTTAAAGGATTAAAAGTTGACAAATTAAATGATTTATGTCACATTTGAATCGGGATGTTAAAATTTTTCGTCACTAATTTAACGCAATTAAAATGAGACATATTGCAACAAGTTTACAAATTGAGAGGGCAACTTGTCAAAATTAAAAGCTCAAGGAGCAAATTGCTAAAACCATACAAGTTTAAAGGACAAATGTGTAAAATACTCGTTTGATAAAAAGAAGTAGCTCTTGAGAGTGAGCGAGCTAGCTAGCTAGCTTGATTATCATCATTTTTTTTAATAAATGAGAGAGAATAATTAATATCAGAGCTCACAAATAAATCCGGCCTGAAGGGCACAAATGAATAATAGAAAGCTCACAAATAAATCTGGCCCCAAGGGTGCAAATGAACAAAGAAATTAGAATAACTCAAAAGAGAATAGAAAACAATTGTTACTCTAAAGAGCTAGAAAGGGCTTCACATAAGGTCAAGAAAAGATATGTCTTCAATTCATATGCCGAGGCCCTACAAATTGAGCTTCGAGAAAGGAAAGAGAGGGTGATTAACCTTTGCAAGAGGGTGGAATTTTAGGCATCGTTCATTTCGTTTATTTAAGTTTAGAATTTGAGTTTTTTTACAGTAAAAAGTTTTCACAAACAATCACATCTAACTTTTTTACTACAGTAAAAAGCTCTCACATAAAGTCACATCTCAACTCGAATTAAAAACTCGAATCAGTGAACTAAACGTGCCCTTAATTAATTGTTAATAATTTGGGTTGGACTTTGAAGAAGAATTGCAAGAGGGGAGATCTGGTTTTGCCACTATTCATTAAAAGTCAAGCGCCAAGATACGGGGACCCCACCAAAATGAGGTCAATTCTGCTAATGGTGTTAGCTAGTTGCACCGCGCATTTGATCATAACACGTTTCTCTCTCCTTTCTTGGCCTATAAAAGAGGGCACTCCAACCACATTCCTCTTCAACCCAACAAGCAAAACCAACGAACAAACTGAAATAAACACACATCATATCTTTACTCTCAAGGCATTGGTTGCTGAACTCTCCCTCAAAGGCTTCTAAAAACTATTGCAATCCATGTCGCTTATTCCCTAAGAGTAACAAAAAGGGTGCGTGGTTTTAAGATGCCCGAGGGGGGGAGTTACCAGCAAACTGTGCCTTGTACTCAATCGTACTTATTGTCATGTATACGTATTTTTTATGTAACGCGTATTATATTACGTACAGCCCCAAGGCATTTGATTGCTCACTCTCCCTCAAGGGCTTCTAGCGGTAACCGGAGACGGTGAGCTCGAAGCCCAGAGGTAGAGTGGACAAAATGTGTCCTGATCATCATCATCGCCATCATCGCTTAAATCAATACACACAAAATGTCTACATGAATATTGGTGATCATGATATGCTTAGAGCTAATTTTTGCGCCCCTGGTGCCTTATATTTCACCATTTATAGTAGTAAAGAGAGATATATATATATATATATATATTTATATAGTATATTGTGTGTGTGTGTGTGTGATGCATATATTTATATGATTTACAGTGCTCCTTTCGGGTGACACCTTCATTGCTGCTTTTCGCTGGTACATAAATAATAAATCAGGGCCTCTTTTTTTATTTTCTTAATTGGCTGATCAGAGAACCACTGTTTCTGAATTTGTGTCACTTCTACTAGAATAGTCACTTCGTGATCAACACGAACGTCAGTCAATCGAGATCTAAGAGTTTATTTTTTTAGAATAAAACTTAAAAAAATTTGAACTTAAATTATAATTTTGTTTAAGTTCATGTTCATTTGTAAAATTTGAATTTTAACTTGAGTTTAGAGCTAAAATCTGAGGTTAAGTTTCTCCTTCAATTCAAGTTCTTAAACTCAAACTCAAGTTAATGAACAATATTTTTTCTATTCTTAAAAACATCATAACTTTTTCGTTTTAATTCCGATTGAAATAATTTTTTTTTCTACGCGTACACAACGAAGAGACGAATAAAACTATACCCATATACCCTATTAAAATTTTTCATCACCATTGAGTTTTTAATAAAATATTATCTAAATACAAATTCAAGTTTTGACATACTCAAACACAAACTCAAATAGATTCTCAATTAAAATCATAACTCAAATGTGCACATCCAAACACAAACTCAAATTATAACTTCAACTCAAATTATAACTCAAATTCAACTCAAGATTTACACTCAAGTCACCATAACTCAAAAATGTAACCGAACAAGCCATAAATGAATACTTAAGTAGGATTACTATTTTTCTTTGAAGGAACAAAGTTGGATTAATTACTAATTGATCCATATTAATGTTTAACCTGTTTATATTGGGGCGTTCCTACCAATATTAATCAACTTCTCTCAAATTCATGATGTTGAACATTAAATAGAAAGTGATCCCTATCAAATAAATTTTTTTATATGGGTACGGTGTTGAACATTATTAGCGCTCTTAGCTCTTTCTTTTTTTTTTTTTTTTTTTTTTGTTGGTTGATATATAACACTCTGATTGGTATGCCTCAACCGTACGTACGTGGAAATTCATTGAATTTGAATGGAATATATATTGTAATGCCATATTATTTCGGGTTTTCACCGAGTGAAATGAAATGGTAAAACAGTACTGTTGGGACAGAGATAGTAAAATTACCTAAGTGACATTATTGCACTAGAAGGACAGAGATAAATTAATGAGACCCACAAAGTCAGGCCTTATTTCAAACTAATTTGTCGAAACATGGAAGCGTCTATCTACTGTGCTTTCTATGGTGTTATTACCTTAACTAGCTAGACAAAAATGGCTGGAACTTGTACTGTACTCTAGGTGTATATGTTAAAGTATAAAAATTATTGTTGGCCCACCTCCTAATAGCTTAAGCTTTTGGGATGGATTGGTAAACTAACATGGTATCAGAGCGGGAGGTCCTGAGTTCAAACCCCCGTAATTGCACTCTTTATCCCCATTTAAAATTGTCATTATGTATTGGGTCTTTAATATATCTCGGGCTTTAAATATTCTCATGTTGGACTTTCCAGTTAATTTACCCACACGATTGCCCATTGTCCAACCCACACGTGAGGGGGAGTATTAAAGTATAAAAATTATTGTTGGCCCACCTCCTAATAGCTTAAGCTTTTGGGATGGATTGGTAAACTAAACAGTATGAAATGTACCAGAACAGTAGTGTCCCACACATTTACAAATTTATAGTAGGAATCTAGCTCGCTTTATTTGGTGCATGTTTACATGGGGTCAATCATCGAGGGTACTAATGGGATTTCCTGTTATAGGACCACAAAGTTAAAATCTCATATAAAATATATATATATATATATATATATATGTAAAAACCCCTTCTATAAACAAACGGGCCCAAACAAAGCGGCAATGATCGACCTCCGGCCATAAGAAATAAGAAATACCATAAATTGATTGGATCATGACTTTTTTCCTGCAGTTTTATTCACATCATTGCATTCAAAGGCCGTTTTGTTTCGTAAGTTTGAATTACAATTCAAATCTTTTTCTACAAATTATAGTATATTCTTTCAAACTTTATATTTAAACCTATGAAACAAACCATCTAAAAATAATTTTGTTCCGTATTATAGAACAGTAATTAGTTTACTTTTTATATGTGTGCATGCCCACTTCTAACACATTGAAGCTCTCCGGTTGGAGTTCCAGCGACGCACTCTCGAGGTTAATGACTTTCTTTTTATTAAAGTTTTGTTTATTAAATACATGTATATATATATATATGTGTGTGTATGCATGTATATACATCTATATATGCATGTATGGCTGCTTGCATTGAATGTATGTATGTAAACACATATATTAGACCTACAACAAAATAAGACACCACGAAATGCCTTACCGAAAGGAGACAAAAGAAAAAGGGACAGAATAATAAAAGTTATGAAAAATTTGGCTGGCTCTTCGTTCAAATGAGATCAGAAACACTGGTATTTTTAGCATCTCTCTGGCTTCTGGCTACCGCGCTCTGATACACAAGCACCAGTGGGATTCGATTTTTTGCCGATTCAGACTTTGATTTGAAGAACAAAGTAGATGGAAATATATTAACTTTTAGAACTTAATAATGGAACTGCCGGAGTCCTTATGATGGATCATATTTTGGGGCTGAGAGAGAGAGCTCCAAACTAGATGACATTAACTAAATAAAACATACATATATATATATATATATATTATAGTAGCTGCTTCTTCTGATCCACATTTTTTAAGGATAAATATCACCAGCATTTACTGTTAATTAAGGTAAGTGACAAATCATATATAGGCAGGCAAAATGTACCACCTTAAACCGCTCGAAAACACCACAACTACATTAAGAAAGTTCTTGATTCTTCTCCACCAACCTCACTCCTTTAGCAGATCTAAGCATCTTGGCCTGATGGAAAAAAAAAAAAAAAATATATATATATATATATTATATAAGTGCAAAACAGAAGAGAAACAAATAAACAATATATATTAATTAATAATGGCATATGTATATATTATTACCTGTTCATCAGTAATCTCCACAGAAAAGCCATCAACAATGACCAGAGACAACGTCTTGTTATAGCTGCCGGGCTCAAGTGCGCTTGCCAACAGCTCGTCGTGCTTCCGGCTCAGGTATGAATCAAGCTCGTTTGTCGCTTTCTTAGCCCTGCAATATCAAGCATTTCATCATGAAAACTTATACCAAATCAATGTCATATATATATATATATATACACACACATATATATATATACATATATATATATATAGTCATGTGTTTACTAACTTATCAGCTCGAAGGCGCTCGTATTCTGGATCATAGTTCATGAAAACAAAGTATGACTCTTTTTTTGTACTTTCCATTGTGACAAATCTCTCTCTCTCTCTCTCTCTATTTTTCCTTACTATATGTACTAGCCAAAGTGTTGCTAATATACAATGACTTATGCTGTTATATATACATGAACGTTGAACAGCAAATGCTTGATAAAAAAGTCGTCCCAAAAAGGCCCGCTTCATATTTTTCTGTTTCTGTAAAGGGAATACTGTAATAATTCTTGACACACTTCTATTAAATATTATTAATGAGAAAGCTAATAGATATAGACATTGTACTTGAATGTGAACAAAAAATAGTTGGTTTACACTTGGAAATTTTCTTACACATTATTTGTGATCCAAAGGCTGTAAATTATATAAAAGCAAAAATACAAGGCCACGCGCTTTTGGGTAGAAAAGTCAACCTAATCAATATATAAAAGTTTTAATCAACTTTGTTGTTTACCAAGAATATAATATTAAACCAAGAGGCTAAGGGAGAGGTACCTTAGCTAATATATAGTCAATCTGACCGGCTGAGCCATGATTATTAAAATCATAAGTCGCTAGGGAATATGTGTTAAAGCGTGTACCGAGCACATGAAATATATATATATATATATATATCAGAGCAAATTACTAGGATATAGATGATAATGCACACGCCCTTAATTATTATAAAACAAAGTCAAAGATGTAACTCAGAACTGAATAAGATCAATTTAAAAAAAAAAAAAATTTTGAAGTGTAATCATGCTTTTATCCGCCACATGGGTAGTCGGCAGCACATTACCCTATATATGATTCCATTTTGACAAAGATCTTCGCCCTAAATTTTCACTAGTATAATTTTATATATATGATTATATCTTCATGTATATGATTGTATCTTCATGTATCTGTGCATCCTTTGACATATACATATATCCGCTACTGTCAATAATGTATTCAAGAAAATTAAGATGTAATTATAACAGGCGATCAAAATCAAGCAAAATGGGGCTTTGGATTTTAAGGGCTTGTTTGGCATTACTTTTAGAAGCTGTTTCTAGATTTTCTTAAGAAGCTAGTTACATGAGTAGGTTCGGACGTTTGGTAAATCTTACTTTTGTCCAGCAATTTCTAAAAATTGTTACCAAACAGCAGAATTTAAAAAGCAATCTCAAGTTTTTTTATACAGCTGCTACTGTCATTGTCTAAATTTACTGAATGCTTAAAATACGATCATCTAAGGGAAGATAGCATGATTTGTGAATCAGCTTTAATTGGTTTTTAGTAATCAAAGCTATCTGTTGCCACACGTTGATCATGATCATATTGATTAATGACACATTGAATATGATCATCTTTAATGGAGATACGTTAATATAATGTACATACGTGCTTCTATATTGATGCGGTGCAAAGGAATTAGCCTTTTTAGTACGTTGGGAACATCCTAAAGTGAAATAAAGTAAATTTTTTATTTTTCTAAGATCTTTTGACGATGTCAGATTTAGAAGAAAAATGTGTTTTCTGAGTGGAAACGAGCCAACGGACAAGACTCGTCACTTTGCCACAACGTGTCACGTTTTTTGGGCAAATTCCTTTGTTTATGCCTTCAAAAGTGCCTTTTTTCCATTTTTACTAATTTCTGTTTTTGTAATATGTTGACCTAAAAAATCGGATTTCAGTTCCGATTGCGTTTCCTTTTTCCTTGCGTATGATAGTTTCAGTTTTAATTTCCAGTTCAATTTTTTCTTTTTTTGGAAAACTTCATATTTTTATTATTTTTAATTATAGAATAGGCTAGTTTCCTGTTTCTGTTTTACCTATATATATGGACGCTCTCTTTTAATGAAAATCAGTTCAGTTGAATAAAAATTCAGAATTTTCTCTCAAATTTCTCTTTTCCAAATTCTGGCATTCTATGTGAATCAACTGTTTTTAAAGCAGTTACTCTATATTCTATGTGAATCAACAAATTAACTGCTTTATCGCTTTTATTTTTATTGTCTAATTTTTTTGAATTAAGTTCCGCTACATCACATATTTAATATATCATGTTCATATAATGATACTTAAAATTTTCAAATTTAAAAAAATGTGTTAAAAAAATAAAAGTAGAAAGATCTGATGACCAATGGGTATGCGCAGTAGTCACTGCCCTTAACGTGAATGTAGTCTGGCTTATCTTCTTTTGTCAAATGAGAATGAATTATTAACTATAGGAACGTTTGGTTCATAGATTCAGAATTATTCTCGATTTACGTATATTTTTTGTGAGAAAAAATATTATAGCGAGCTACGAACCATGATCCGAACCATGACACGGATCCTTGAACCAAACACACATTATATGTCTGAACTATCTGGGCTCAATTTGGACAGTACTCATACGGACTCAGAAACACAACGCAATTGGCCTCAATCCATGTGAGATTTTAGATTTTTCATGGGAGTGGGTCAGATGGTGAATACATAAGAACCATTTGAAGCTGGTTTTCGAGAAAGAAAAAATGATAGGCTGTTTGATAATGTTTTTAAAATGATTTTATTTTCAGTATAAAAGTAAAAATGAGATTGTTTTGAGAATTATTCTGAAACTAATTCTGAAATTGTGTTTGGTTAAATTTTCAAGACATTGTTTTGAGTATAATAAAAAAAATAAAATCTTATTTAGTTATAATTATTAATTAATATACTATAACATTGTTAATAAGTACTAGAAAATGAAAATAGAAAAGGGAAAACAACTTTCAACGGTTTTCTAATTCCTTCATAAAAATTATTCTCACTGTTTTTTATTTTCGTTTTCGTTTTCGTCTTCAAAACATTTGTTAAACAAACGTGGTTTGCATACCGTTTTCATTTTCGTGCCTTAAAAGACGCGTAGAAACGTTTTAAAAAACAATCAAAAACTAATTTCAAATGCATCCAATAATTCTACCATAAGATTATTGGTTTGGCATACCTTTTTTAAGTTTTATATGATTTTGATCAGGTCTACCAGTTCTATCGAGATAAAGACTCCACCAATTGCATATATGTAGCAATCTAAATCTCGTCCCCTTTTTTAGTCATTAAGATTCCATCGTAAAACATTAACTAATAAGGAAAAGTGACCCAAGCTCTTTTAATTAAAGACACTATTTCATGTCTAATTGTGGAACTTTGTTCTCACATTATCATCAAAAAAAACATAACCTATCGATAAAAGTAGGAAAATTTTGTGAAAGATTATAAAAATATACTACCGATAACACACTAAGTATTCTAATCACATAGAGCTCTTTAAAGTACTTAGAATTCATTCATCGGAAGCTCAAATATATCTAATACATAAGAGCGCGCGGAGGGACGTAGCTCCCTTAAATTTTTGAGGCGTCTCGACGTTTTTCACATGTTTAGTTGATGCAGAGTTGAAAACTACTTTAGGCTTTTACAGCATGAACTTTACATTACTCTATTAATTACGATTCTCTTTGCTGTCCACAAATCTTTCCATGCCAAAAAAGACATATTCCATTCCACTACAATCTAACATCCAATGCCGATATGCCAGCTTTTAGCAAGCGCGAAGCGAAGAGTGGGAGACAGTAATTGAGCCAACGCACGTGAGAAGCTCATATATGATCATCTAATCTGGCCAGAACTGAAACCGCACTATAATTGGCTGTATGTACAATATCAACTCAATATCTACAGAAATCCAATTCCATGTGTCAATGCATTAGAGTTCAAGGAAAGGAGGGGCCTTTAGCTACGACTCTCTTTAGAGATTCCGTAGACAGAAACAGAAAGATAAGGTGGTGGGGTTCCATGGTATATATATATATATATATATATGCATATATATATATATATATACACATATACATATATATATATTTATATTAGAGGACCGTCCTTCTGACATAATTTATAAGGACATAATTTATAGTTATAAAGCGTAAAATTATAATTATTGAACGTAACATTAATATTAAAAAAAAATAATATTATATTTAATAATTATCATATTATATTTTTATAATTACATATTATATTAAAAAGACCTCCCACGTGAAGGACCCAAGAAGAGATATTATTGCCTACGGATTTGAAATGAAAGAGGAAAAAGGCTAAAAAAAAAAAAGAAAAAACTATGTGAGAAGAGATAGAGAGAGAGAAACGGCAGAGAGTCTCGTCGTTTGCTATACTGATTGGCAGTCACAGTGTGGTCCTGTAATCATATGATATCGGTCTCTCGCTCTCTCTCCTCGATATGTATTGCTAGAGTTTTGGTGGTTCTGGTCTAACACACACCCATACTTGAGGGACCCAATATTGCCACCAATGAATCATAATGATCTTCTGATCAGATTCTTTTTCAGTCGTTTTGTTTTTGCATGCACTCACTTTTGGGACTGAAGGCTACGATACGACAAGTTTAAAATGATTAGGTCGGTCATGGATGGATTATAAGGAACGTACTTATTAATTGGGAACAATACCAAAGGTCATCCTGATTACGTGATAATAGGTTGAGCAATGTAACACCATCTCAAATATAAATACTAATATAAATACTAATGTTAATTATATATTTAATTCAAAAAATATAATAAAATATTTTTATTTGTGTTTTAATACATAATATTTTTTTAAATATTAAATTTATTTTTTTTTATAATCATTAAGTTTTGAAAGTTGTAAAAGTAAACTTCTAATTATAAAATAATTTAAAAATGTAAAAGTTATAATGATTAAATAAAAAAGTAAACATATTAACCAATAGTAATCAATTGACAAATTTATCATATGCTATACACCTATACTTAGTGAAAAATTTGTCACAAAGTATAATATATGACAATTTTAACATATCAAATGGCATTGCATTGGAGACTGTTCTTGAATTTTCGTGCATAATTTTATTTAGAAAAAAACAGTTGTATCCTTATTTTATAGAAAAAATTTGTAACTATACTTGCATTGAACAATAAAATATATGTTGTTGCAGCTCTATTTCAGACAATAATTATAATCTTGTGTTCTTAATTATGCAGTATGCCACAAAAATTATAATCTTGGCATAAATGTAAAGACGATATCTTTTAAAATTTAAATGGTATTTTTGTATTTCTCCTACAAATTGCTAAGTAATTTTTTTTTTTTCCATAAGGGTATTATTTTTAACCACAATAGAAATATAATGTGTTTGGAAAGTACGTAAAATAAATGAATAAAGACGACCACTGATTTAGTGACTACCGTTTATTATATTTGGGAATAAAAATTTTGTCAACATAATTCCTAAAATGTATTTTTATACAATTAAATAAAATTGACTTAAAATATATGAACGTATCATAAACACATTATTAGTTATTAACCAGACATCAGTATTAAGGGGGTGCTACAGAAAAGGGATTTCTTCATTTCATATAGGGAGAAAGAGAGAAATAGACTAAGACTTGAGATAAATTAAAATTAATAGGCCAATAGTTTACATAAGTTAATAAATAGGCTAAATTACTGTTTTTGTCCATAACTTGTCTAGTTATGAACCATAACTTGACAAGTTATTGTCCATAAATCACGGTTTTTATTCATAACTTGTCTGGCTATGAACCATAACTTGACAAGTTTGTCCATAACTTATCTGGTTATGAACCATAACTTGACAAGTTATGACCTATTAATTTCTATAACTAAAAGTTGGCCTATATACTTCCTTAAGCTTTTTATATTGGCATATTTTCTACTATTTCCGTTTCATATATTGTGTGAAGCCCACCGAAGTACTATTTTTTTTTTCAACTTATAAGTTTACACATAAATAAACAAAAAAGGGTATCTTCCTCTTTTATTTTCCCTTTCATGTGAAGTAAATATGTCCGGAAAATGGATTTGAAACAAATAGGAAATTATTCATTTTTTTATCAAAAAAAATTAAATTGAATAGAGTGGACTAATCTTGTTTATTGATAGACTTCTCTATTTGATAAGATGGGTAAAAGGAAATGAGACTCAAAAGGACTTAACAACTTATTAGTCTCTAATTTTGAGGGGGGCGAATAAATAATGCGATGTGGGTTCATGGATTACCAACTTCTCATTCTATACACATGAATAATTAAGAAAGCAAATCAAGGTGACAGTTGATTGGTGATAGAATCTTATCTTCATATAATAAGAGAGGAAGTGTGGAATCAAAGAGAATTAGATGCTTTAAGCATGTCCAACCAATGAACTAGAAAACAGAAGAAAATTAGATAGCCGTGGCAGATTTGTAATAGGAAAGTATTGAATGTAGTCATCAAACCATAGTAAGATGAAATAGAGTTTCTTTCCAATTAGTAAGGAAACAGTCTAACAGAAGATAAACAAATGCTACACAATGTTCCTTTGAATATTTATTCATATCCACTTAAAACAAATACTACACATCCACACGTAATGGATATAATGAGCACAATTTCCTCCTATATGTAAATATGCACACTATTTAATTTCTTCTACCAAATTAATTAAGAGTTCAAAATCTAACACAACATGCCTAAGACCGCGTGGTCTTGTGGCGCAAGGAGTTCGGGCAGGGTGGAGTTAAAAGGAAGTTGAGGGTTTAATCTCGTGTTGTATTAAAAAAAAAAGAAAAAAAGGAAAAAAAAAAATAACACAACATGATCACCCTTTATGCATCATTGTTACAAACATCTCCAAGATGCAACCTTATCTGTTCAATCGTAGGCCTTGCCTCGGGCTGTTTATTTGTACACGCCAAGGCAATGTCTAAAACCTGCCACGCTTGCTTCTTCTCTTTTTCTTCCTTCAACGAAAACTCAAAAAATTCAATTTCACCTGCTTTTATGCCTCTTTTAACCTCACTCACTAAATTTGTCATGAACAAAGTAATCCCATCGGGTCCTCCTAGTATGTCTAGTATTATGACCCCAAAATTGTGGACGTCGCATTTCTGGCAAAGAGCGTC